TTTTGTTTTGGATTTTTTTTTTTTTTTTTTTTTTTTCCTTTTTTTGTCGGGGCCAGGGGTGCCGACCCCCGGCCCCCGGGACCCCCGCCGGGGCCCCGGGGCCGGGGCTCGACAACCCTGAACTCAGCTACCCATACCAGGAATCTAGCCTTTGGGAAGGAGCACCGACGACAGATGATTTTATAACTACGAATGCTTTTCGAAAAGCAATTCGAAAATTTTTAGGCAAGAAACTGAAGCCGACCGTTCAAGAGATGTGCAGGGAGGCGGGGGTTGCGTATAAGGGAAGACCTGATGCAGTGGACGAGTTGATCGAATTACGAGTGATGTACTTCAGCATCGAACCGACACAACCAGCGATGAAGCTCAACCACGGGCAGTCACTCCAATACCACGAGGAGGTGGTATCGCGGCGTCGTCATCAGGGATGTCAAGGAGGATCCCCGTGTACAATAACTGTCTGCCCCAGCGTCAGAGCCGGGGAGTAATGGTCAACAGAACGATCGCCCGCTTGAGTGAGTTGGGTAAGTTCCTAGAAGTAAGAAGGCTTTGTCTGAATGATCCCGATGTAGGGAATCGACAGCTCCGGAAAGCTTTGGAAGGCGTACTGAGGTATTTATTGGCGTTGCACGTCCTTAATGGGGGAATACAATGGGGGGTGAAGTTCGTAGGAAATTGGGTAGATATCATAGAGAATAGTTTATCCGATTGGGAGAAGCTCGAGTAGTGTGTGTATGTGCTTATTGATCCGGAGGTACGAGCCACCAATATCGGGCAAACAAGTCGGTCGTTATCGACGCGATGGGATGAGCATGTTTACAGAGCTCAACACCAGGATGGGACACGTAACTCGAAGCTGTAAAGTTGGATGAGGAACCATGGCTCATCTAATTATGTCGCCATGCCGATTGCTTTTGTCCCGGAAGAGGATCTGAAAAAGGTTGAGGGAGTATTAATCGGGAAATGGTGCCCTGCGCTGAACACAAAAGGGTGTAAGAAGGCAGGGAAGATAAGGAAGCGTAAGGGGAGGAAGGAGAGGAAAAAGAAGAGGATGTATGATGTTCGAACAGACCAACCAATAGTATTCAAATCCGGGAGATTCCAATCGGTTAACCTTGTCAAGGTATGTAAGAAAGCGTGGGAGGGGGGAAAGAGTGTTCAAACTAAAGGAGGGAAGATTTGGGTTCCTAAGTGGAGTAATGTCTTTAAGGAAATTGGGCGAACAACGGTCAAAGTTGATGGTACGACTAGATCTATCAGGGATGTTAGGAACATTTTGAAAACGAGAGTCGAGATCCAGATTGTGAAATTGCAAACTAGATCATTGTCAAAGGCCAACGCGACTCTGAAACGAGAATTGCATCAAGCGATTAGGAATCCATGGTACTTTAAAAGACTGTTTAAATACGGGTTGGATCGTCTCATGGAACTTCTTTTCGCGGTAAAGTATTTTTCTAGGGATGGGACAAGGAGGACTTTGAAGGATCTATTGGCAGGGGTAATTCGTAAGCAATTTTGTTTTAATATTAGGAAGAAATTTTGTATCAGCACTACGTATGATCAGAGTTTGTCCTTACGAAAGGTGCGGGAAGTAGTGACAAGTAAGATCCGAGCTGAATTACCGGTCTCACTTTCGGAATACATGTGTCGGGAGCTTCTGATGGTCTGGAAAAGGAATCCTACCATCTGCGAAGTTCTCCACAACCATCACTCTGCTTCTCAACAGACGGTGGGTGTCTGCAGTTGTGCAGACAGTGCTCTCCCAAGGAGGGAGGGTCACGTGCATTGTCGACTTTGGGAGATTTGTGAGGTACCTAGCTTCGCATTAAATGCTCGGAATGTGGTGTGCACGGATGGGAAGTTGGGGAAGGACAAGGTGATGACTAAGATTAATAATAGTATGAAGATAATGGGGCTGAAATCTGTTGTGAGCTTGCGTGAAGTGGAGGAATGTATGAATGGCAGAATCGTCTCGCATGAAGAACCGAGTAGCAAATTGCAGAAGGCTGAGGAGATGTTTTCTGAGCTCGTTTGCTGTGCAGTTGACCGAAATACAGCAGATATTGTGGTGATGTGCCCATCGGTGTACGCGAAAGGTATGCAGGCGACTTTTGGGGGAAACTTGAATGACAGTTTCTGAGCAGTGTGAAAAACGGAGATGGACTTGATGAACCAATGCGAGCAGGAGTTTAAAGCGGAGGGACTGAATGCAATTGGGAGATGGGATAAACAGGGATGTTTGGCTGAGCCTACATCCTACCCAAACATAAG